TTTCTTTTTCCCCTTCTCTGAACTCACCAGAGCCTGAACACAACTCAAGAAATGCTATACTGGGGATGAGCTGCATCGTGTTGGTGTGCTTTCAGAGTTGTTAGCAGGGCCTTAGAGATCTCCGAATTTCTTGGTTTGAATGCCTTTCCTTAACTATCAGACACAGCATCTCTGGTTCCCAGAGACCCCTCTACACAGCTCTGTGATAAAAGCACTTTTTAACACCAAAGCTGCTGTGTTCCCACGCCTGTTGCTGTCATGAGGGAGGCCAGTGTTAAACAATAGCAGAGGAATAAAGAATAGCCTCTCTAATCGATATCCTGCCTAGACGCTGAGTCAGGTGGCAGCTTGGGCCTCTTTAAAATTCCTGCATTGTTCCTGATTTTTCATTTGACTGGGGTAAATTTTTATCTTGAAGGAAAGAAAACACACGGGACCAACTGTCTCTGACTGCTCCACTGTTCCCTTCCCACCCACCCCCACTCAGTTTTGGTGTCTTTGTCCTGTGGTAGCCTCCGCCAGTGAGGAATATAAATGTGATTTGCTCATCTGGACTTTGAGCTGTGTGTTGTGATGTGATCAGGACAAGTGGTAGTGGTGGGAGTCTGCACGGGGCTCCCTAAGTCATGTACATCCGCAAGGTTTTGGAGAACACAATCTGTGACAGCTACATTTCCATGTAGGCTCGTATTATGTGATTGGCCTTAAAATGGTCAGAAGCCAAGGAAAGGATGCAGGCACAGGTTCCCACAAAATTTCTCCGTAGATGAATGTTTGGAGCCTTAGCAGGATGCTAGGGCAGTCCGTGTGCAACCAGGTGTTTGGAAAATTGACAAAAACCACTATTTGCTTAGACAAACTATAAGATCCTGTAGCTAAAGTTCTTGAATCCAACTCAGCTGCCCAAAAAAACGTTTTCCAGAAGGAGAAGGGGTCCAGGGTGGCTTTGTGTAATCTTTGAATCTCACAGTGGTCCTGTGTGGGGGCTTCGTTCTGCTCCTGTCATCCCTGAGCATAAGGAGAAGGGGTCCAGGGTGGCTTTGTGTAATCTTTGAATCTCACAGTGGTCCTGTGTGGGGGCTTCGTTCTGCTACTGTCATCCCTGAGCATCACCCTGGGGCTGCTCTCACCAGCCCGGACGAGGGGGCTGCGGCTCTGCCCTTTCCCCTTGCCATGAGCCCTGCTTCACAGGCCGCAGAGCAGAAAGGCCTCCAGACTCTGGTGCCCCCAGAATTGTCCTTAAAGCTGGGGAGCCCCAAGGAGATCTTTGTGCCTCTTTGGCACAGCTTGTCTCCTGCTAAAAGGCCCCAGCAGAGGGGGAAAGCGTGGTCCTCGCTGTGCCGCCGGGCAGGAACTCTGGGGGCTGGAAAGGGAACTGGTAAGGGCTACATTTGCGCGTGTAGATATGAGATAAGAGCTGACCTACCCTTCACCCCAAACTGAACTCCCTGAAACTCAAACAAGGTAAGGCCACTGCTTGTGGGAAGCCTGCAGGACCGGCAAACCTGCCACTCTTGCCCGGGGCTGGGAGCAGACATTGAATGGCCATCCATAACGTTCTCCTGCTCCAGGCAAAACCTGCAAGGCAGTGCGTTCTCAGGAGCTTGCTAGATCCCTGTCTGCAACTCTTGAGGACTGGTACCATAGAGGAATCGGGAGCTGAGGGTGCCTGCTGGGAGAGAGGGCAAGGACTGCTGTGCCCTGGGGCAGCAGGTGCTGGGGGCTGCCAGACCTGTCTCCCTGGGGGAAGGATACACCATGCAACTGCTGCTGGGGCCCAAAAACCTGGCAGGAGGACACACAGCCCAGCCCCAGGGCCCACAGTGCCAGAGGGAGACATCAGGCAAAGGAAACTCTTCTCAATATTTTGTTTTTCTCCATCAGATTTTTTTTTTCTCTTTTCTTTTCCCAAACTGCTGAAGTTTAGGAAGGATTTTGCGTCTCTAGCATCAAAGGCTCATTCCAGAGGCCATGGAGCGCTGTCATGCTACAGAGGAAGCCTGGCTGGCAGCAGGGTCGCGTGGGGAGGGATGCTCTGCTGGCTCCCATAGGCCTGCTTGCGTCTAGAGACAGGGAGGACAGAGGGCCCAGCGTTTGTGTTCCCCACGGAGAGGGCACCAGGGGAACCTGGCAGCTGCCCGCCTTGCCCTCCCTGTGATTTCTGTCTGTCCCTCCCCATGTGTACCAGCATACCTGCCCACCTCTATGGGTACCCCCTCCCCATGGCTCTGCAGCACCTATTAGTTCAGGGATTGTGTTTTTCTCCCTGGCTGGGGGGCAGGGATGTGTTTAAAAATAGTGTAAAGGAGAAGAATACAAAGCAGGACAAACCCCTGAGGTTCCCAGCGTGGCACTTGGCAGAAGCACAGTTCTGTCTTCAGACAAAGCCTTTGTCCTGAGGGGTGGGGGACAAATAGAAATTACAGACAATGGAGAAATCACTTCAGATGAAACTAAAATAGCATCTGCTAGGTATGCGAATGGGGCCTTTACTGTACATAGTCAGTGACGGTTGCTTTCAGATATGCCTACTATGATATGCATTGCAGATACTGTCACAGGCTCTTCACCCCATGCAAATATAAACAAGCCAACATCCACAGCTGAGAGGCCTTAGGTGGAGTTCCTATACTGGAAATCTGTTTCTGCTGGGAAAGAAACATTCCCCTTTAATGATGTTCCTGGGTCTTTAAGTCTCCTGGGAGGCTCAGATCTGCTTTGCACAGCAGGGGAAGTGGTGCCTGCCAACACAAGCATGGTATGGGTGGTGAGGGCTGTCCTGGGCACCGTGCTCTCAGCACCGACCCCTCCGTGCCTGCTCTCCCGGGAGTGAGCAGCAGCTCTGCCTCTGCTGCCTACTGCTTGCATGGTGGGACACGTGTTTGTACTCAACCTCAAGGGGCAGGGAGAGACTCTGCTTGCCCCTAGTGTCTTTATGAAGACTAGGAAACAGAAAGCATGGATCTCTCAGGAGGTGTTTTCCAGCACTCACCAAGAGTAAGCGGTTCTCCCTCCTCTCTCTATGAATGTAAATTCAGGGTGCCAGAAGACTGGCAAGATATAGCTTGCCGAGTTAACTGCTCAGTGTGTCTCAACCTCACACAGGTAGGGCACTGCTGGAGGGGAACTGAGAATTTTTCAGACCTGGACTTCTGTGCTGAGGCTGCTGGTGAGAAGTTCATTGGCACCAGCTGTGAAGGGAGCAGTTGCCTTCCAGTTGCCAACCACACCTGCCTCATGGGAATATAATGGAGTCCTTTAGCTCATTATAATGGTTGTGGGGGTTTGCTGTATATCAGACCTGTTAGTGGTGCTTCCACGGGTTGGTTGCTCTCCAGAGCAGTCTTGCTTGAGATACTGGACCTCATTTGTGGTAGCTCAGTCCACGGAAGCATCCTGGGTGTCCTTGGTATGTGTATAGATCCTTGTGCATATGTTATGTGGTTTGTGGAGGAGGTTCCTGAGTTTCAGGTTGTTTTGAAAAGCTCTGATCAGTCTGTGGTCTCTCAGGCTATCTCTGCTGTTGCTATGCGGAGTTAATGGTCACTGTGGCACGGATGGAGCCAGGATGTTTTGGATCTAACAGCCCTGTGGTGCTGTTAAGCCTATGGCTTGCTGGCTGCTTGTGTAGTTCCAGCTTGTGGATTGTGCCAACAGATGCACAAAAGAAATTAATTTCTTATGAACCTCTTCACCTGCCCTGGAACATGTGGTGGAAAAAGTCTTGGGTCCTAATCAAGCTGTTAGTCACAGCAGATTTCCCAAGCCTTGGGGCTTGCCTGTGCAAGGGACTAGTCTCTGTGGGGTGTGTTGCTGGGGGCCCTGCTCCAAGCAGCATGTGTGAACGCTTGCCTGGGAAAGCAGTCGCTTTGGGGAGCAGATCTTTCCTCGCTGGGAGGGAACGGTGGGGAGGAACTAAAGCAACCGGGCTACACCTCCATCAGTGTGTTTGAGCAACGAAAATTCTCTTTAATGCTCACCAGGGGACCCGGCGGGGGTTTCATAGGAAAAGATTTGTTCCCGGCAGGCCTGATGGTGTGACAGCTTCCAGCGGTGGTGAGCTGGCTGGGGAGACAGGAGGCTGCGTACCGAAAAGAGAGGGCGAGAGGAGCCGCCTGCCCAGGCAGCAGCTGGTGAGAAGGCGGCGGGGCTGCAGAGCGTCAGCGCACACATGGCGGGTGGGGAAGCGTGAGCCCAGCTTCAATCCTTGTCAATGGCACCTCGTTGACTTTTAGCGCGTCCTTATCGTGTCTGCGCTCACCTCGCAGCGGCGCTGATAAAATGCCATCGCCGCTGTAATCTCCCGAGCAGCCCCCGCGGAGAACGTTGCAGAGCATGGGAGGCTGCATCGCCTGCAGCCAGCCACCGGCGCGGGACCTCGGTCCAGAGCAAGGTAACAAAGGAACGGCCCTAACCTGGGGCAAGGCGAGGACGGAATAACCTCCTGGGTTTATGGAACTCCACCTCTGCCGGTAACATTGGCACGGCAGCAGATGATTTTTGTGTAGAACAGGGGTTTGCAGAAGTTGGGAGAGCTGCTACTTTTCACTGCCTGGTGGAGTTGGACATGTAAGCCGTGTGAAGTGATTGCAGTATGTCAGGACCTAGAGCTATAAACACCGGAGTTATGATAATGGGGAAGGAATGCACAGTGGGTTTTTTGTTGTCTTTTTTTCCAGAAATAACTTACTTCTCTCTCTTGGGGTATTAAGCACCTAAGTTCTTGTACAAATCTTAATTGTCACTAAAAGAGGGTATTAATTTTTCAACAGGTAACTGCTACCTGTAGGCCCACGGCCATTTTTTAAGCTACCTTTAATTTTTTTTTTTTTTTTTTTACAGGCAAGCAACTTGGAATGATAGACTTGGGAGAGTCTTCTTTATAGGTTTGTAATAAGGACCCCTGAATATAAAACCATAAGCAACTACTGAACAGGTATGTCATTTTTGGAACCTGTAACTGGTGCCAAACTGGTGTACAGTATCTTGCCACTAGAGGATAACAACGAAACCTGTCATGGAACTGGCTGGAAAGAAGAATTTTCATTCTGAGTGAGAAATTTGGATGTTTAAGAATGTATTTTTTTATTTTTTAAAAAATAAATGGGATCCTACACTTAGTGTCCTTCTTCCGGAATTGGAGAGAAAAGTTGTGATGCTAAAATGCCTTGCTGAGAAAAACTTCTGAAGATATAGTCAAAGGACTCAGGGCCAAAGTTCTTCTCTTTTTTTCATGGCTGAAGATTTGTTTTCAGTTTCACTGTTCAACTATTTTAAATGATGAAAGGTGAAATGGGGGACTTCTTTAGAGGAAGGCATTCTCATTAACAACAGAAAATTCCAGCGAAATGAATGAAACGTTTCAATTTGCCTTATTGTTTTACTTTCCTGTCTTATTCAGAAAATCGGCTTATGCAGCTCTCAGCATGGTTTGGTGTTTGTTTTTTTTTTTTTCCTCTTGGGCTACAGCTCTACTCTGTACTGTGTTATTTATTGAATGTCATTATCCTGTGTTTTTTTGTGTAGCACTAGTCTTGTAATCATCCCTGTAATCACTTCCACATGCTGCAAACTTGCAGAATGAAACAAACTCCTTCTGCATTCCCTGTATTCACATTATCTTTGCCAAGTTCTTCCTTTCCAATACTTGCTTGGATACCTTGAAGATTATTTTCAATATCATAATCCCAAAGCTGTTCTCACAGGAATATCTGGTGTTGCCCCACCCACCTTTAGGAGTCTCTTGTATTTTCACCACCAGCTTTGATCTTTCCTGTGCTTTTGAACTGTTCTCCCCCTCCGCTCTCTTTCTCTTGTTTCTGTCCAACATCTTGTACTACCATCTCTTTGTTCCAGTGTCTCCCCATTTCTCCAGTCTTCCGTCATCCCCTACCAACATCTGGAACTTGATGTGTGGGAAACCTGGGCCTTTTCCCAAGACCACTTCTCTTTATCACCCCCAGCACTTCCGCTGTTCTCCCTGACAGTGACATCCAGATTACCTCACATTTTACTGTATCCAAGCTGTGTCTTGCATATGGACCTGTCAATTCTCACCAGTTTTTCCCTCTAAAACCTGACTTTTTGCCTACATCCTCAAGTGAAAAGCTCAGTTGGCCTCAGTTACTGCAGTGCCGCTTGCAGTCCACAGCCTCCTGCCTCCCAGGTCCTGCTGCCTACCCTTGTCGTTCTCCAGCTTCATATTCCTTCTGTGGCTTCTCTGTCAGGTTTCAGCCTCTCCATTTGGAGTCCGTATGTCCCCATTTCATGGCTGTCTGCTATCCCCTCACACTTGCCATCTTCATGAGTGGTGTTTAACCACTTACTGACTCCTTCTGCATCTGCTCACCCACCTTTATGCTCTTTCCCCAGCTTTCCAAATTTATTTTCTTACACTTCAACACTTTTTTCCTTGACCCTGTTCATAACAGATAGGATCAGGAGCATGCTACCTTGGAGATGGTAAACACTTGATCCCTCTTGAAATGAATACTGATTAACTGCCCACCTAGGAGTTAGGCAGCTGAACCTTATTAAGGTATTTGGGCTCCAGTGTGCCACCTGGCACCTGCTGTTAGCTCGGAGACCAGGACTTAGATTCACTACACTGCTGATGCCACCTCACCCTGGAAGTCTGTGGTATGTCAGTAAGGTCCCCAAAGTCTGCGGGACTTGATAACAGCCTGAGGAACTTGACATCTAGTTCTCGCTTCAGTCTGCTGGGATCCATAGGCAAGCTGTCTCTCTGCCTATCTCTGTCAGGGCCTGCTCTCGTACAGGTTTTCAGAGAAGACATACCCAATCAATTGGTGCACTATGCACGGCTGGTGGAGAAGGTAAGTCTTGTGGCTGGTGTCCTGGCTTGAGGTAAAACAGAACCATCTGTCTGTTCAGTAATTTTACTTCTTAGCTAACTAAGCTAACTCTTCTAACTCTCTGAAATTAACAGCATATTGTGCAGAAAACTGTTTATTCTCAGAATGATAAGACCTATGTTTATAGTCAATGCCAAGGAATGGTGTGCAGAGAGGCTCTTGCTTATACTTATTGCTATAACAGCCAAGGTCAGATAACTCTGTTATTTGCCCCACTGCACGGTCAGAAACAGAAAAGCATAGAGGTGTCCCACCTGCAGGGAGGAGCAGACAGGACAGGTGACTCCAAACTGACCAACAGGTGTATTCCATCCCATCTGCGTCATGCTCAGTATAAAAGTTGAGGGATCAAAGGGTCAGCCCTCTTTCTTTGATGGCTGACATCTGAGGAGGACTCTTGTCTGTTTATTTGCCTTTGATCCCACTCTGTGTGTTCCTGACTACAGATTCAGAATCCAGTTCCCATTCATTGCTGAGTCTGGTCTGGGACTTCCCCAATGTGGGCTGGTGGCATCATCCTGGGAGCTTGATACAGTTTTGTATACATTGTATCTATTTCCATGATTCCCTTTTTATTTTATTATTAATATTTCATTAAAGTAGTTTAGTTCCTTCTAACCTGGTAAATCTCTTTATCCCTCCTCCTCCTCCTCTCCCTGGGGGAGAACATCTGTCACAGGTCATTGACCAGTTTGGCCAAAAACACAACAGCCGGTGTCTCAGACCAGGAGGTAAATCAGCAGATTTAACTTCTTTCTTTTCTTGGAGGATGCAAAACAGCATGTAGCTCAGTCATCTCTGAAATCCACTGTTTGTAGAGGTGGAGGCAGCTATGGTATAGAAGCTTGCTCAGTGGATGAGCAGAGCGTATGAAATGAAGCATACATAATGTTGTCATGGTGGTAAAAAGTGGGCCTGTTCTTCCTTTATGTCCCTCTTGTAATCTGCCCGTGTAAGACCAAGACTTACATTTGCACTTTATATAGCTGTCAGGTTATTGTCCTTTGAAATTTTAAGGAGCTTCCTTGTCAGATTTGGGTGAATTTCATTGTAGAATGTGTTTCAGCCTGAAGGGCAAAGCCATTTGCCCAAGGCACTTGAGGTCAAATGGAGAAAGTGTTTACCTTGACTTTTTTCTTTCTTTTTCTTTTCTTTTTTTTTTTCCCCACATTCTAGTAAAATGTCGTAATTAGTGGCCTACTGGGCTGTGTCACCACCAGCCTAGCTTACTAGCTTTTTTCTTTCTTTTTTCTGGAGTGCTTTTTGACAAAAACCCTTACATGAAGTACTCAGATCAGAAAAAGACAGCAAGGTGGTCAGTCCCGTTTTAAGATGGATACCCCTACTGCGAGTAGGCGTGAGGTATCCGTGTCCTGAAGTCATGCCCTCGGTCAGCATTTTCCCATGGACATCCTATGTGATGTCCCTTAAGGGTGCTGGTATTTGCTGGTGTTCTTCTGAGGCAAGCACTGCCAGTCACCTCCACTCTTTGTCCAGGGGCAGCAATGAGGGGATGTGAGCTACTAGCTGAACAACTCCTGTGCCTCAGGACTAACTTGCTTATGTTTGCTGCAGACCTAGTGTAACAGCTCACCGTGCCAGCAAAAAAGAAAGAAGGAGAAGAAAGAGGGAATAGAGAAAATAAAAAGCAGGACATGGAGTACTTCTCGGATTATAACCCTACCAGATCTAGGTTTCTTTAGCTCCTACTGTGCTTTGATAAAAATGAGGCTGGTTAGCAGCAGATGTGAATGTAACAACTGACAGGAAAGCTATGAGAAATTAATGAATTAAGTAGATTCTCTTACAATTTTTTTTTTTTTTGGTGGGGGACTTAAAAGTAGCAGTTTTCAAACTGTGGCCTACTGGTGGCTCATGTCAAGTGATTGGGGTGCTGTGGAAGGTGAGAGAAGAGTGAAGTAAGCAAGACGTGGGATGTGTCATCAATCAGGAAAAGGAGAGTGCTCAGGGAATGGGTGACTGGAACTTCTGAGGGATGGTGGTGTAGCTGGGGAGAAAGATGTAGCTTAGGAGCAGATGCTAATTTTGCAGAAGTGGGGATGGGGATTCATGTTACTAAGAATAAATGGGTTTATGGAAAAGATACTGATGGTTATTTGGTAACCAGAAGCTTAAGTGATCAAAGAGTTTAGTAAGCCCTTCTGACTTTGCTGTGCCCTTCCAAAAATATACCATGGCTATGTGGAAGGTCACCTCCCATCCGTTCTTAGACGTTAATCACCCTGTTCAGTATAGGTGGCCTATCAGATTGCATAGACTGTGTAAACACTGGGATATATGATAGCACATTTGCTGAGCTGCAGGATCTAAAGGTAAGGTCGATATCTGGAAGGCCAAGATATTTGTGAGGGGAGGAAGGATTCCTGGTGTCTTCAGCTGCTTGCCCTCAAAATGGAAGGAGAAAGCATTTCAAATTCCAGAAGTCTTCATAGGCTCCAGGCTATAAACAGGCTCTTCCTGTATAAGCAATAAGGATCTAACAGTAACCAGAAGATGTCTGCTTTTCCATACAGACCTAATACTACTGGGATAAGTTTTTTGTGAGTGGGGTGAAGCTCATCAGTCAGAGGGGAAAGGAGCACTCAGTGCTACTGGTGTGGATCATCCAAGAAGATGATATAGAAGATAGTCATGGGGTAAAGAAGAAATAAAGGTCCAGTGAAGGTGAAACATAGAGAGACAGAAAGGAGTCATCGTCAAAACGAAAAAGAAAGACTGAAAGAGGAAGAATTAACAATTGATAATAATTAGGGAGAGGTGGCAGAAGTACTGACGGTGGTTTGTACAATGGAGAAATGTCTCAGCCATTTAATACATTCCATAAATACTGTATTTTTTTTCAGCTACCTAGGTTAAGGGCCTCTGTGGGGACAAATACACAAATTATGGGTCCCCAAGTCCTTCAAATTCAATGAAAGCAGAATTTATCCCCTAGATTACTATCCCGAATTCACACGGAAGGGCTGTGGCTCAAGCATGGTTTGGATCCTCTGTATCAGATCTGTGAGTAAGTCTGTATTCCCAGAAGCGATGTGAAGGAAGATATGACCAAAGGGATGTATTTGCTATTTTACTTTGGATCTCAGGGCAAATGCCACATGCAGTAGTTGTGGATGATCTGTTTATCTCCACCTCTTGAACGCAATGATACTGCAGATCGGGTCTCTGAAGCTGTCCGTGGCACATGGGCTCTTTGTGTTAAAAACCTTTATGGCACTGTCACCACAGGCCACAGCTACACCTTGGGGTGCAGAGCATGCAGGGTGCTGATGCTTGGAAGTGCTTGTAAGACACTGCTCTCTATTTCCTGGTCCTAGTCAAGAGACTAAGGTGACTGTTACTGAAAGTTGAATATTCAGTAGCCTGTTGCGGGGGCTGGTTGGTTCCTGGC